ATGCTTTTGGTTTCACTCAAAAATTCTTTGCCGTTTTTTTTTTATGCAGTTTCAACCACATTCGCTCGGGACATGTCGCTCGGGACATTTTTTCCGACTGTTTTGTAAAGCGGATTTCTTTACCTCTATCTCTCAATTGCTGGATGTTTTGCTTTTAACTTAATAGTTTAGTTTGTGAATGAAGCATTCAGTACAGAAAAATGTCACATATTAGCACTCCTATAGGAAAAATTAACAATAGAAGACAGGTCCAAAAAATAACAAAAAAATAGCCAAAAACTGATTTTTGCGTATATTGGTGGGGTTTGTCATAAAAATGATCAAACTATACTCCAAATTTGTAGTTAAGCTCAGTATCCAACTAATTAGAAACTGATATCGGGGCAAAATCATGTGGAAATATGTTTTATTCAAGTTTCAAGGTTTTTGGCTTGGTGGACTTTTTTTTGGAAGTGCCCATATGTATTTTACATATGTATACATAGATTATACATTGGATTTGACATAAATATTTTTACACTACAACCTGATTTCCGAAAGAGATAACTTTTTAGCTAATTTTTCGTTCTTTATGATTTTTAAATAAACTATTTAAACTATTTGGTTTTTTTTAAATTTAAAAATTACAATTTTCAAAATTATTTTTTTAAAATGCACGAAGAAGGACGATTGAAGTTCCTGGTAAAATAGTTCGCTTTAAAATAATGTTGATATGGATACGTTTTTTTTAAGAATTATATCTCCGTGTTTGAGTTACGCTTACCCAATTCAGTTGATATATGTTTTACTGTTTCAATTTGCCGAATAAATTGAAAAGAGTGACAAAATCATTTATTAAAACTTATGAGTGCCCCTTCAAATGAGTAAAAGTAATTAATTCTAGTCATTGCTCGTTCCTTTTTATACCCTTGTAGAGGGTATTATAATTTCAGTCAGATGTTTGCAACGCAGTGAAGGAGACGTTTCCGACCACATAAAGTATATATATTCTTGATCAGGACCAATAGCCGAGTCTATCTAGCCATGTCCGTCTGTCCGTCTGTCCGTCTGTCTGTCTGTCCGTCTGTCCGTTTCTATGCGAACTAGTCTCTCAGTTTTAAATCTATCGCGATGAAACTTTCCCGAAAGTTTTCTTTCTATTGCAGGTAGTACATATGTCGGAGCGAGCCGGATCGGACCACTATATCTTAAGGCTTCCATAGGAATATTAAAACAAATATAAGAAAATTCATTGTAACTTTGTAGGAAGTAGGCGTTTTGATTCTTGACTACTTATGTATAAACAAAATTAAAATAGATACGCTGAATCTGGAATCCCTGGAACTGCACCGAGTGAGCATTACTTTATCTGCAAGGGTATATAAGCTTCGACTGGCCGAAGTTAGCTTCCTTTCTTGTTGTTTATATTTTAAAATAATTCCGCACTCGACCAGATTTGAATAAATTCGAGGATGTTTCCCGAATAGGTTTGTATATTTGTCTTTTAAACTGTACAGACAAAGCTCCTTATAGAATACCTTATTATTAAAATGTAACAACAAAAGAAAACCATTTTAATATAAAATAAACTACACTGAATAACATAAAGTATGACTCAAATCTTATTAAACAAGTTTAAGGTTATTGTTCAGAAACATTATTTCATCTACAACTCTGTAGCCTAGATCGGTGTTTGATGACTCGCTGATCAGACTTCGGGCTTGGAGCAAAGTATTTCGGGCGAACGCAATGCTGGCTGGGATGGCAAATATTTTGCAGCTGACCTTATAAAGTAGTGGGAACAGACATTCGTTGTCCTTCCACCAATGTAGCAGATTAAAATCGGGTTTTAGCCCCACCTGCATACTCAGATACCCGTTGATTTCGTGGGTTATCATATCAGTTTTGGTATCATTCAAACGGGGTGTGATAAAATCGCTAAAAATCCCGTTGTATTCACAGTCCGTCTTTATTCTCTTCCTCGGGCTGTCGGACTCTACATAAAACGACTCCATCATTTCTTTGCAATCCTGTATAATATACTGCTTTTCGGACTCCTCGAAGAGAAGCAGCTTGTTGGTGGGAGGAAAGAGTAGCAGGGCTATTTTATGGTACTTCGTAATAGAATTCTGTGAAATGCACTCCAAGTGGGGTTTTAAAGCCATCTTAAGGCAAGACTCGACCGCAATGTCTTCAGTTGTAACATCGGAACATAATTTACGAAGCTTCCGTAAATGCGGAATCACCATGTGAAGTGTCGGATCTTTGGGGTTCTCCAGCTCCTTTAAGGAGTTCTCAAAGTTAGACAAAATACGAATCATGGCCATTACATTAGGTAATGTAATGGTTTCACTATCTTCCTCTAAAATATCTGCCGAAGCCGTCCTCCAGTTATCATGAATATTTTGAAATGCTCCGATTATTCTGTCCAACGGCGTGTAATAAGCAGATCCACATGTGTGGTACTCTGCAAAGCAGTCTACGCATTTTTCGTATAGTAACCGCAGCTGTGGTGTCTCACTGAAAACTTGGTCAATTGCTTGGTTCAGCTGTGTGTTGATGCACACGACGTGTGGTTGACCAGCAAAGGCAGTTTTGATATTCTCATCACTTTCCGTAACAATTACTCGATCATCCCCATCCATGTCGAATTTTTGAAGATTTGACGCTACCGCGTCACGTATGGTTTTATCTAAAAGTGTAAAAATAAATTTTCGTTTAAATTTAATAGAAAAAAATCTGAAACAATTGGTTCGCGAAGGAATCCTTAGAATGCTGTAGATTCCCAAATCTCTCAAAATCTGGCCGCAAATTTTTCAGTGCTCTCTAAGTTTTCGCGATTTCTTTAGCAATAAGTACCATTGAGTCTATGCGGTAAATTCCTAGGCAACTCTACCAGTTTGTTTCTCTTATAATTTTTAACCAGTGTAAATATAAGCTTTAGATATTAATATTACCTCTGGCAGGAGAGGCTCCGCTCATGGTGGATACGCTCAGCAAGCGGTTGATCACAGCGGATTCTTGAATGTAATGCATGGTGAGCACGGCTCGGAGTTCCTGGAATTTATCGGTATACAAGAACATGGCCAAGCTGTAACCGGTGTCACGCATGGTCGTTAGCTCCTCGCAAAGGCTCCTTTGATGTCTCTCGTAAATGTCAGATATATTACGGGTAACTGCTGCTGGCTGAGGTAGGAGTTCCCTGATTTTGACATTTTCGCCGTAGGTAGCACCAATCTTCAGAAGGATGCCAACCAGATTCACGAACTCGGAGTCCTCAACTATACCAGGTATTCGACAGTTGTAAACGGACCACGCGGTCACAGCGCCCAGGACCTTCTTCTTGGTTTCCTCGTCCAGTGCCACATCTGGGACTGCCTTCACCTCCGAATTGCGGGTCAGGGACTCCAGCTTCAGGGCGCATTTGTGCTTCATCAGGTTGGAAGTGCTCATCTGAAACTTGTGGACATTGTAGCAGTTGCGACATGCCACAAAGTTCTCGATGTCGTCCCCCTTCTCGTCCACAATCACGGCGAACAGCTGCCACACCTTGCTCCGTCCGCGCTTGTCGCGCAATGTGTATTGCCCACTAGACAGCCTCCGTTTGAGATCGGCGATGTGGGCATAGGTGGCCGGAGTCGTTAAATCCGGAGTGGCGCATCGCGAACGGGAAATCGGTGTGAACTGCAAGGGTAAGTCATAAAAATCAATAGGCAGACAGGTGGAGTTGGAACTTCTTCTTATGAAGAAGTATTTAGTGGGTCCGTAGCCCGTGGCAGAATGTCCATATGTAACCTACCTGCTCCTGTTCAAGGCCATCAAAGCTAAGCTCATGCTTTATGTCGAATTCTCGCAGTAAATCCATTACTGAAAGATTTCCAAATCAAAACAAAAAACATAAATATCTAGAGATGTGTTTTCGATTCAGCCTGCACGAGTAGTTCCCCGTTGCTGTCACAGGCATCACAAATTACACATTTTAAATATCTGTCACGGGATCAAAGGTCACTGGGTTCATATATATATAATATTCTCGATTTCCTTATTTCGGTAAACCCGATTTGTTTAATGCAAGCTTCTCATTAATTACCGGTAACAAATATTTACAGAGTTAACAAATTCAAAACTAGTTCAATTTGAAACTAGTTCCAATTTAATCAAGATCCGTTGACTTAGTTTATCATCAAAACACTCCGTTGGGTTTCCAAACAAAATCTGAAGTCTCGCGCTTAAAATTTTGTAAAAAATAAAGGAAACTTTGAACTGTTCAAAAATATAAACTCCAACCATGCCAAATAGCCAGGAAACAGGAACGGATGCCGATCTAATAGATGATATCAAATTAAACAGCCGCGATAGCGTCGCGTAAGATTTTTATCTGGGGTTTGACTGGAATAAGCCAAAAATATTACTGCATATTACCAACAGATTGAAGGATCTGCTGCAGAAACGACTCTCGGAGTGCGGTTGGCGCAAGGACATCGAGGAAATGATTCGACACGCCATCGATGAGCGCGGTGTGTCCAATTTGACCCACGACCAATTGGCTGCCGAGATAGTCCCTCATGTAAGATAGTGTCAGCTTCTTTCAGGACATCCATAACCCAAATTATATGTTAATAGGCTCGCGCTCTGGTTCCCGACGTAATTCGAAAAGAGATGCTTGTGCGCGTGCGCGCTGCTTTGGAGTCCTCTTTGCCTTCGGAGGATAACTGACTGCCCATCCAGAATCCCAAATCGCCCTGAGCTTTTACGATAGTCACATTGCCTGCACATTTTAAATTCTAGCACATGGGTTTGTGGTTTATTATCTCATATTTAAGTAGATATTTACATACTTATGCTAGTTAATTAAGCTACAATATTAAGGCTAAAGTGTAAATGTTAATCCGTTTACCTATTCAAAATTGAGTCGATTGATAATTCTATGAATTTGGCAGAATTTTCAGTAGTTTGTTGCGTAGTTTGCCCAAAATCTGTGTGTTTACTTGAAAATTCGTTGGGCTAGAAAGATTAATGTATGTATTTGTTTTCGCCTCCGCCTCGTAGTCCATCGAAGATTGCTACTGAGAGGAGGACGAAAAAAAGAGCTGATATTGCTGCTGAGCTGTAATTGTATTAATCAATTATTTGGATGAGAGAACACTTTTAAAAACCTACATCGATCAGCTGCTGAAAGCCGAGCTCTGTCGATTTCCGCTTTTAGTGCTGCTACTGTAGCTGCTTAACGTTCTTCTCTTTTGTTTAGAGATTGCATTTTTTGTAGTTTGAGGACCTTAGTCCGGCCACGACATTGCCCGAGGCAATCCATGGCCCTTGAACCAAGGCTATAACGACGGGCCCTTGCTCCAGGGCAATTAGGAGCTCCGCCGACGCGAGTTGTGTTTTAGGGAGATTGAGCTGCAGCCTCCTCAGTGTTATAGGTGGCTGGCTCCGTCTTGACTTTAAACGTCTGGTCACCTTTCTCTTCGTCCTCCGAGTTGTCGAGCTCAGGGTCCTGGGCGGCTTCCATGATGCTTTCTAGACCGAGGTCCTTCTCCACCTCGCCTGCCTGCAGGATGTGTTCGCCTGTGTCGTCGGGGTGGCGCTTTTTGAGTCGCAGGTAGACACTACCCATGCCCCAAGCCATCTTCCCGAATCGAGGGTAGAGCAGATCCTCCGCCTCCTTGTTGATTTGGAGGATGACACTTTGACCCCCCTGATTGGGTAGTGGGCTGGCCATGTGCAGAATCTTCCAATTCGCCGTAGGAACGTCTGGATTCTGCCCTTGAAGCAGCTTCAGCGCCCGATCCCCTTGGATTGCGATGGGAAAGAGTACCTTTGCCTTCGGTATGGAAGGGATTAATTCCCTGTCCACCACCTCCAGATGGGCCCCCTCCCACATCTCCTCCAGTTGGCAGACCGTTTGCGTCAGCCACTTCCTGGTCAGGTCGTCGTTGCACTTTAGGATTTTGACTCCGTTCAACCACCCTGCACCATCGAATGTGGGCATAGGGGCTGCGGGTGCCTTCTCCATCCGTGCAAAGAGACACTCCACGAGTCGGGTGTGGACGATCTTCCAGCGCGCCTCTGACATCTTTCCATTTTCGTCGCTTCTGTCGATGAGTGCCACGATCAGGTGTCGGTTGACCCCATCACTGACCTTTCTTTTGGGCTTCTTTGCTACTTTAGTGGGGAGTGGGCCTGCCTCTATGGGCCCGCCTTTCCGCTTGCTGACTCGATCATTTTCATGAGAGCGTTGCCTTTTGTTGGCAAGCATCTCCTCCACCTTGTTCGCAAATCCGCCCGTTGACGCCATCGAGGGTTTGTTTGCGAAGTGCAGCCTTCCGTCCTCGATCTTTTGCTCTGCCCAGGCTAGCCTTTCCTTCTCCTCCTGGGAGAGGCCCGCTCTGTCCTGGAGCCGGCTTTTGATCTTGAGGGCCGCCTTGTACTGCGCCTTAGCCTTCATCCCCTCGCTTGAACGCTTTCGTTTATGCTCGACGTTGTCGAAATAGGTGGTCTGTGAGTCCGGAGTAGTGCATTGCGAACGGGAAATCGGTGTGTACTGCAAGGGTATGTCATGAACATCAATAAGCAAACAAGTGGAGTTGGAACTTCTTCTCACGAAGAAGTATTTAGTTCCAGATGTCCCCTACCTGCTCCTGTACAAAGCTTTTAAAGTTAGGTTCACGCTTTATGTCGAATTCTCGCCGCAAATCCATTGCTGAAATATTTTCAAGTCAAAACAAAAACCATTGATATTTAGAGATGTGTTTTCGATTCAGGCAGCACGAGTAGTTCCCCGTTGCAGTCACGGGAATCACGAATTACATATTTTGAATATCTGTCACGGGATCAAAATGTCACTGGGTTTACTAGGAAAATAATGAAATGCCCTTTAACTTTAGATATGGTTATGAAGGCTTTTTAATATACTCGATTTAATATATGTAGATAAAAATATATTTAAAGAGTTACCAAAATATACTTGTATTTTTATCCTTTTATTATTGAAGCATTAACTTCTTCTTATTCATATTTATTATTTAATTTAATGTTCTATATAATAAATAGAACATCTACCCGCAAAAAGTAAAAAGTATATCTTTGATTCTATGACAATGATTATACCCGTTACTCGTAGAGTAAAAGGGTATACTAGATTCGTGCAAAAGTATGTAACAGCTAGAAGGAAGCGTTTCCGACCCCATAAAGTATATATATTCTTGATCAGGGTCACTAGCCGAGTCGATCTAGCCATGTCCGTCTGTCCGTCTGTCCGTCTGTCCGTCTGTCCGTCTGTCCGTCTGTCCGTCTGTCTGTCCGTCTGTCTGTCTGTATGAACGCTGAGATCTCAGAAACTACAAAAGCTAGAAGGTTGAGATTTCCCCCACATATTCTTTGGTTTCCTACGCAGCGCAAGTTTATTTTAGCCGAGCGCCACGCCCCCTCTAACGCCCACAATCGCCCACTAACGATTTTAAAATGGGTCCTGCGCCCACATCTTTAAAGATTTCCGAAAAGTATAAATGCAATTTTGTTGTGTATATTTATACCTATCGAAATGTAGAAGACATTTTTCAAATCGGACCATTCATTAAAAAGTTATACGCAATCAAAAATTATATATCTATCTCCCTCGCACTCCCTTTAGCTGAGTTACGATTATTAGTCGGGACACCAACCCGACACAGCGTTCGCACTCCCTTTAGCTGAGTGACGGGTATTAGATAGTCGGGACAACAACCCGACTATAGCGTTCTCTCTTGTTTATTTTTGAAGTCGTGAGAGTACAAATCGAGAGCAATAATCACGTTCGCACGTCCATTTCGAAACTAGTTCCAATTTAATCAAGTTCCGTTGACTTAGTTCATCGTCAAAACACTGCGTTGGGTTTCCAAACAAAATCTGAAGTCTCGCGCTTAAAATTTTGTAAAAAATAAAGGAAACTTTGAACTGTTCAAAAATATAAACTCCAACCATGCCAAATAGTCAGGAAACAGGAACGGATGCCGATCGAATGGATGATATCAAATTAAACAGCCGCGATAGCGTCGCGTAAGTACTTTATCTGGAGTTTGATTGCAATAAACCAAAAGTATTACTGGATATTACCAACAGATTGAAGGATCTGCTCCAGAAACGACTATCGGAGTGCGGTTGGCGCAAGGACATCGAGGAAATGATTCGACACGCCATCGAGGAGCGCAGTGTGTCCAATTTGACCCACGAAGAATTGGCTGCCGAGATAGTCCCTCATGTAAGATAGTATCAGCTTCTTTCAGAACATCCTTAACCCACATTTTATGTAAATAGGCTCGCGCTCTGGTTCCCGACGTAATTCGAAAAGAGATGCTTGTGCGCGTGCGCGCTGCTTTGGAATCCTCTTTGCCTTCGGAGGAAAACTGACTGCCCAACCAGAATCCCAAATCCACCTGAGCATCTACGATAGTCACACTGCCTGCACATTTTAAATTCTAGCACATGGGTTTGTGGTTTATTATCTCGTATTTAAGTAGATATTTACAAACTTATGCTAGTTATGAATTGCGCCATTAGTTATACAATATGCATGTAATAAATAAACAACCTAATTATATTTAGAATACGTTGTTGCTATGTTCATGTTATGGGTACTCGATTGGCTAAACAGAATTTGTGGAGGTTTTGTTGGGGGGAAACTAGGAACGCGGCTTGGGCTCTGCTTGTATTTGTTTAATTATGCTACAAATAATAAGGCTAAAGTGTAACTGTTAATCCGTTTATGTTTTATGTTTACTTATTCAATAACGAGTCGATTGAAAAGTCTTTGAATTTGGCGTTGGAATCATCGTTGAACAGCTGCGGCTGCTGCAGTTGCTCCTGTGGCTTGGAAACTGTTGCCGCTGATGCTGCCGTTGCTGTGGGCAGCATTTTCAGTAGTTTGTTGCGTGGTTTGCGCAAAAACTTTGTGTTTATTTGAAACTTGGTTGGTTTGTGGTTTGCACTTGACTGGGCTTGAAACATTGGTGTATTTGTGGCTGTGTTCTCCGCTAAGGTTGTCGATTGGGCTTGTGATGTTTCTGTAGTGGTTGCTACTTGAACTGTATTGATTTGGGAGCCATAATTTTGGCGCCAGGCACGCAGCTCTCCTCCTCCACCTGGCGACTTTAAGATGGCCAACGACTTTGTAGCTGTCGCTGGAGGGGGTGCTTTTGCCGATGCATAAGCATTGGGTCCGAAGCACTTAAGAAAGTTCTGTACATGCAGCAAACTGTCGTTCTCGTCCTTGTGCATTGGCCGGCGCTGTTTGTCCTCGTTCTCGTCCTCCGCCTCGTAGTCCACCGAAGATTGCTGCTGAGAGGAGGACGAAAAGGTTGAAGAGCTGCTATTGCTGCTGAGCTGTAATGACAAGTTTGACTCAATTATTTGGACGAGAGAAGATTTTTGAAAACGTACATCATCGTCATTTTTGTCGATCAGCTGCTGAAAGCCGAGCTCTGTCGACTTCAGCTTGCTGTGTTTGCTTGGCTGCGTCAAGTTGTTGCTGCCGTGATTGCTGCTGCTGCTGTTGCTGCTATGACGTCCTCCTCTTTTGTTTAGGTCTTGCTTTTTCTTCAGCTGCAGCTGCGGCATCTGAAGGACTTTCTCACGGTACGACTTTCAGCTAGTTTTGGCGAGGTTATCGTCGCGCCTTAGTTGGGACTGCAAGAAGAAATTCATGAATAACTTTGGTATACAACATTTTACAATAGGTTTTGGGAATAGTTTGGGTTATAAGAAAACATATCTTGATCTTCTCTTTCAGCCTGGCACACAAAGACAACAAACAATTTCGGGATTAGTTGCCAACAGCAATGGGATATTAACAATGAACTAGATGGGCGCAAAAGCAGATGAACTTGAAATTGTGGCATGTGTGTGTTTGATAATTTCTTTGGCTTTTCCGATTGACTGGCTGATCGAATGAATGGTGGGTGAGTGGTGCGTAGATGAGACAAGGAGCTGACGCAAAATGAAAAGGTGAGAATGCACGAATAATAGGCACTGGCATATGGATTATGGATTCTCATGTGGCAAGGACATGCACCCACAATCAACACACACTGACACACACACAGGAACTCGTTCGCACGCACTCTACTACCTGGTGATGCGTGCTGTAGAGAGCCGCGTGGTGCACCGCATAGGAGGAGGAGGTGCTACTTAAACCGTCAACGCCAACGCTGCCGCCACCCACTTGAATCTGAATGCTAGGATGTTGGTGTGGGTGTGGGTGGTGGTGCTGCTGGTGCTGCTGACCCATGCCCGTGCCCGCTGTGGTCGTAAAAGTAGTTGTGGTTGTTGCTGCTGTTGCAGCCATGGCTGTCGCTGACCCACCTCGTCCAATGCCAGCAGCAGCCCCACCTCCAGCGCCCAGGCCCATTCCCACGCCCAGCATGTGGGCGGCTGCCACAGCAGCGCTGGTGTGGTGCGACTGGTGCAGATGCTGCTGCACTTGTTGCGCGTGCTGTTGCTGCGAAGGATGCGGCTGGTGTTGCGGCTGGTGTTGCGTCTGCTGCTGCTGCAGTTGCGATGGATGCTGGTGATGCAGGCTGTTGCTATTGACGGCGCTATTGGCACTCAAGCTTCCGACGCTGCTGTTGGTGTTTCCAGCATTGTTGTACGAATGCGCGGCAGGAAGGTGTCTGTAAATATATTGTAGCGGGGTAATCATTTTAATAAGATCAAAGTAAATATAGTTTAAAAGTTCACAAAATGGCTTTTCTCTTTCAAGAAACAAGACTCACCTCATTCCCAAATTGGCTGCATTGGTCATATTCATCCCAGAGATCGACATCGATGGTGCAGCAGATCCGCCTGCATTCGAAGAGGTTGCTGGATTACTATTGCTGCTGTTGACGCTACCGCTGGTTGTATTGTTGCCACTGGTGCTATTGCTGCTACTCGAGTTGCTTGTGGCCCCCGGTCCGCGATAGTCCAGCACTACTCCGCTGGAACTTGCTGCTGCCACTGTGGGTCGACTATTGGCCATTGTCGGGATGGTGGTATTGATGGCCGTAGTGGCCAGCGAAACTGCTGCTGCGATTGTTGTGGCCGCATTGAGAGCACTCATGTTGCTCCCGAGTCCGATGTTGCTGCTGCCGCCGCTATTGCTGCTGGAAGCTAGTGTGGAAATGACAGAAGTTGTACAAGTTGATGTTGCTGTTGTTGTTGAGGTTGTTGTTGTGGTTGTTGCTGCTGCCGTTGTTGATATGGCGGCTGTAAGCATTTTTGTTAGATTGTGAGTACCCGTTGTTGCTGTTCCATCTCCACGAAATTGTGTGTGTTTGTGCGGTATTAGTTTGTAATTTTTGAGTGTGTGTGGTGGTTTGAGTTCAAAATATGTGCGGGTGTGTGGGTTTTCTTCACTGCATGCAACAGACAGCAACACAACAAACTTAGGTGTAACTAAAAGTACAGCTCTTAACCCGGAATTAACCCATAACCCATTGTTGTTTTAGCAGCCATTTGGTGCAAATAATAAATACTTAAAGAAATAAATTTAGAATTGGTGTTCGTTTTTGTGTTCAATATATCAAACATTTTATTCATTTTTAAAATAAATAAAATCGAAAAATATTAGCTTCCAGTTGTTTAAAGAGCTTAACTAATAACTTGGCCAAGGAAATCATTTCTCGATATAAGAGTATGTAAAATTAGATTTTGTATTTTGCCGTAAATACACATAACTAACTTAAAAGTTAAAATTAAGGAAAATTAATCTAGTCGGGGGATGGACTAATGATAAAGATAGAGAAGCATTCCGTATAAAATAAAGTGACGAGCTGTCGATGTGGTCGTTAAGTGCAATAATTAATTTTTACCATCACTGCTTCTGTTTGTTAGACAGTAATTTCATTGACAGAATGCGGGTGTGTATATTATGTACATATTTTGCTTATAAAGATGACCATTTGTAACCAGTTTAGTTGTTAACTTAACATAAGTTACTTAAGACTACGACACGAACTAGACGCAAATTCCATTTGTATGTACAACGAATACCAAACAAAAAAAATAGTAAGTACAAAAAATTAAACGCAAAATTTGGTCTGTGAGCAGTGGCTGTGTAAGTGGGTGGATGTGGGGCTCCTCCAGTGCCACGTGGTGGGAGCGAGCAAGTCGAGCCGACACCAAGTACAAGAGAGAGTGGGCGCCTTCTCTACTTACCGTGCGCCTCGGCCTTGGCATTGCTTGCGATGGTGTTCAGCGGGATCTGCAGGCGCGCATTGACCGCCAGCAGGTGATCGCGTCGCGCTATCAGGCTGGTCACATGCTCCTCCAGCCGGAGATTTTCGCTCTGCAGCTGGTGCAGGCAATTAAGCAGCGAGGCAACTGCAACAAAAATATTCAGTGTTAGTTTCCAAGGTCTCCTGGAAAGCTCCCGATATGCGACTCATACTCACTGTCAAAGTGCTGCGCCTGCTCCATGAGAAACTGCGAGCCCTGTTCCCACTGGCGTTCGAGAAGCTGCTCCAGACTCTGAGGAATGGGCATGTTGCCGTTCATACCACCGCTGAACATCGACTGCAGCGGATTCGGAGCTATTGTTGCACTGCTGGGGGCGGCACTCGAATTGCGCTGTAAAGAAGAAAAATATTTATGCATTAAGCTTTTACTGGGAAAACCATGTATCTAAAGTGTTTTATAAAGACATTAAAGTACGAGTGATTCTATTAGTAATCATTATTTAAAAATATTTATTTGTTTATTTCAGGGATCAAAAATAATGGTTCCTTTTTTGAGTAAAAAATAAAAATCTACAAATTTAAAACTTTGTAAAATTCCGTACAGAACGGCTGCAATCGCACTTTGAGTGATCTTTTTAAGCGAAATAATATCGCTCACATAATAATCATTATTTCTGAGCGATATTTTTTTCGCTTACAAAATAATCATTAAATGGAGATTTTTTTTCACTTATAATGATTACGGTCCCTGGTTTACTTTAATAAAAATCAGTTTGGGAACTTGATTTTAATTCTAATCGTATAAAATGTGTAAAGCTTCTTACCTGCTTGCCGGGGAACGGGACTCCGGTGTACTGCGAGTTCAAGGAGTCGGACGTGTATATCGAGTGATCCTGCACCTCCATGTGCAGCTGCTCGGACAGCTTTTGGGCCACGCTGCTGTTTGGATTGATCTGGTTGCCAAGCATATGGGCGGCCGTGTGTGTAATGATCGAACTGGCTGAACTGGCAGTCGTCGATGCCGCGGGCGTGGCAGGAGGCGTGGGTGTGCTGCTGGCTGGATTGCTTGAGCCACTGGCCGTCCCATTCTGCAGTATGCGCACATCTTTGAGATCTGGTTGAGCATTGGTAAAAGCAGCTGCTGCCGCCGCAGCTGCCGCCGCTGCTGCTGCTATCGTCGAGTCCTTTGCCTTGCGCCCACGCTTCCGGGCATTTCCAGGCTGAGCCGCCGCCGATGTTGGAGCTGCGGCAGTCAGGGATCCGGAAGCTGCCGTTGCCGAGTGCATGGCCGATCCAATCTCTGAGCCGGGCGAACTGGGTGGCGAATCTTTTATGGCGCTCACTGGCATCATGGGCACGTCTAGCTGCGTCTGACTCTCATAGGTGAACTT